TCCAGCAAGAGCTCACAGCTTCCTCAGACTCTCCTGTTTCCCCTTATTCACAGTTTGCACCTCCCCGCCCCAACTCAGCAAGAGCACAGCTAACACAACAGCCCGTCACCACAAATCCTCTACACCAGAACCAAGCCTGCTGCTGGGCTCCAGGTCATTGCAGCAACTCCAGACCCAGGGCAACCCGTATCCTCCCCCCCAGCTGCCATTTCAGGTGAGAAGAGTCTCAGTTTGGGGAGCTTCACTTAATTTAAGTCATTGCCAGCTGACATGAGCCTTTAATTACCAATTTAGTTGAAAAACAAAGATGACAAAACAGTTAAACAAATGAGTACTTAGGGAAATCCCTTTTCCCCAGGCTCAGCTTCAGCTGAGCTACTCGCCTTCCCCCTTTCTGCTCTCTCCTCCCCTCATTTTCACCCCCTGTTACCACCTGACCCCTATCAGGCCCTTCGAGGAGGGGAAGGGCACTGCAGAGGGCTGGAGCTGGCCCTTTCCTAAACACCTGTCAGTAGCAGCACCAAGGGCTCCTCTAACTGGCTGAACTGGGGCTGTTCTCACAGTTCCCGGGCTGGCCGAAGCTGACTGGAATGGACTGGAGCAGGCAGGGACCTGCCTGGGGCAGCTGGTGGCCTCCTCCTCCCGCAGCACCCTGGCTGTCCCCAGCCTGGTGTTTGTGGCCAGTACGGCTAGGTATGGAGGAGCGGTGGCCAGAGCTGGTGCAAAATAGATGCAGTCTGCCCTGGGGAATTTGATCTTGGAGAGGAATGGGAAGAGAAGAGGGAGACAGCTGGTGATGTCTAGGCCCGGGTTTGTTCTTTTGCAAGAAAACGGTGGGCGTTAAGGTGAAATACTGAAGTCTTGGCACAGTTTTTATGTTCTGTATTCTTCATGCTGGAGATCTTTGTTTGCATGTGGCTCTCTTTTTTTTTCCCTCAGTCCCCAGGACCAAGCTTTACCATCTGAGTCCCTTTGCACTGCTCTGTGCTTTGGTCATCAGACAGTTAACAACAGGTGTTGTCTTTTGGGAGTCCCATTTTGCTCCTACCTGAATCAATGATAAAATTCTGACTGTGCAAGTGATGGAGCCCATGGGCCAGATGGGTATTTGGTACCAAAACATTTGAAAGGCTCTTTCTGTAATAAAGAACTTTATGAAGTATTTGCTGGAAAGAAAAGTACCAATCTGTTGTCTCCAGGGCATTTGTAATCAATACTGTATTACGAGTTGATTAAATACTAAGATATTAGAACTGTGAATCTCAAAGTTTAGTTTTGACTTTTCTCTGTTACTCAAAAACAGCTGTTAAAAGTGTTTAGAGAAGTGTTGACAATACCAGAAAACAACAGAATCAAAATAGTGTTATAGCTGCTATTTCTGAATGTGTGAACTTGGCAAGGAGAAAACGCTTATCGCTAGATTAGTACTGGCAAATGTTGTAGGTAGACGAATATTAGAAGTTGTGGGGTAAATGTTTTGCCTGTTTTTCCTGTGCTCCTGCAGCCAAGCAGATAGTGAAAAGTGTGGAATATTTATATGCACAGACTACTAGAATAGTATTCACTGTGTGTATAAAATGTGGGTGTGTCTCAAAAAGCTGGTGGCATCCATGGGAAGCCAAATAGAAAGGCAGAAATCTGCTCTCTGTATAATTATGTAATGAAGGGTGTAGCCAGTAGTAGCAGCCGTAGCTTTGATGCATTTGACCCTGTAGTGAAAATGGATAAGCAAGAGAGTGAAGGTCCTGTGCTAAAGAGACTTGGCTAATCTAGCCATAACGTGGAGCAGTAACTGGTAGCTTGGTCCTCTTGTCACTGGATTCCTCTCTTTCCTTTAGGCTTTCAGCCCCTGGTTATAGGTATTAGGATCATGCCTATCTGAACATGAGTGAGAAGGGCTGTGACTGGAGTGAGCAGGAGGAGGCAGAGAGAACCTGGGTCCTTACTCTAGTTACAAAAAGTTAGGTCATCCGGATGCCTATACAGAGTCAGAGCAGAGATGTATCTAGCTTAGTTCTTGTTTCTGACAGGAACCCCATGATACATGCAGGAGAAAAGTATATGAAACAAGTGACAGGGTAATCCTTCTACTAGCCCACCTTCTGTCAGCACCCAGTAAGCAGAATTTTAGAGATGCTGCATCAGAAATAAGAGTCAGATGCTTAGATCCTGTTTTCTCATTCTGTTCCTACACTGACGTCCACAAAAAATCTCATTCTTTCATTTGACAGAGTTCTTTTATTCAGCCCTCTTTTAGATGACTCATTACTAAGATTTGGGCTTGTTCTTTAGGGGTGTTTCTGGTTTTGTTTTATTTTGTTTTATTAAAGGACGTTTGAGAGTTTGTTTGTTCTAATAAGCTGCAGCTGTAATTGGGAAATGGGTTAAGCTTGCTTGCAATTAAGATAATTGACGTGAAAAACCCAATTGTGTCCTGAGAGAGAGAGAAAAAAGTTCCCCAACTGAGTTTTAAAAGACAGTGGCTTTGTCTAACAATGCAGGTAGAAGCAGATGTTTAGAAAACATGTAAAAACAATCAGGAGGGGATTTATTCATTTGTTTATTAATTAAGAGGTATGCGTGGGCAGACAGCCAGCAGAGTTCTGAGTTAAGAAAGACAAAGTTCCAGCAAGGCATTCAAAGGAAGCTATATACAGTTGACTCTCTACTTTTTTTTTTTTTTTTTTTTCAATAAAGGAGAAACCACCCCAAAGTTTTTTGTAAGGTTCAGGTCAGCAAGTCATCTTGCGTATAGTCTTCATGATTCTCTTCTCTTTCATTTAAGTAATGTAAGATACATGGTATGGTCCTATTAGGCCACAAGTATCTCCTCAGCTAGCAAAAATATATATGGATTTGTGCACTCTTTAGCTTGCCAAGGTTAAAAAAATGCCTAGTGAGTACTAGAGCAATTTTGATAGTAGATAGTAAGTGACTGAGGACTTCAGACAAGCCAGAAATTCACTTTCTGATTTGTGGGGAGTAAGGAAAGTGGAATGGGGACCTGATGTGGGAACAGATGTCTACTGAGAACTTTTTAATTGATATAGCCAGTTAGGAGAAGAACAAGAAAATGTAGAGGATGGATATTTACTAGATAGCTGGCTGTACTAGAAAACAAGGAAAGAATTACTAGCGCTGTTTAGAAGGAAAGAAAGAGGAAAGACTGAAAAAGATTCAGATAAGAATATATATATTTTTTCATTTACAGCATCAAAAGTAATGTCGTATGAGACTAAAGTTGGAGGGATGAACACTGAGTTCAGACCTTTGTTGATACTTGGCTGCTCGGGTAAGTGATCATTCCAGCAATTTTTATGCAAGGGTAAAAACTCAGTGAAATGTATTGCTTGTTCCTTTGGTTTCCTTGTTTGAGCTGTCCTTGAAAATCAACGCTGATTGATAAAACTTTTCAGAGTAAGATACTGTAGGCATTAATGGCGCATCTAGTTAACTCGTCTCTGTGATCGCTTTGATAGTATTAATGAAAAATGGACACTGGGAGTTTTATTGTGATTTATGGGTAGCATTTGGGGGGGTATTTTATACAGATAAAACTGTTAAATAAACGTCTGAGAAATGAATGCCTAGCTGAAATTCCAGCCTTTATTTCACTTGTCTTCATGATTGAGGTCTTCTCTCATGTAGCAAATCAAATAAGAAGATAAGAAATATATCTGATTCCTTTCTCCTGTAAAGAAAAGTGGTAGAGCCCTTGCTTTGTCTTTCTGGCACTCAGACCCTCCCCAGTGTTTGTGGAGGATTAAAGCTTCTGGGCTGCCTATCAGCAGGTGACCAACAGGGATTCCTACTGTGACTAATGTTTGTTTGGAAGATGAGACACAAAAGCTGACATATTGTGACATCTCTTAGGCCTGCTCTAATACAAAAAGCAACAGAACCAACACACAGGGTAACTGTGCTCTCCATGTGCTTGCACCTGCATATGTGTGTCCTTATGTGTGTGGAGGGAAAAAAAAAAAAGAAAAATGCTAGGTCCTGCATATACAGCGCCTAGTTTCTGTAATGTGGTATTCAGATAATGAAATAATAGAAAGTGAACGCTTTTTAATTACTTTGCAGACCTGTGTATTTGTAGCATCATGTTCTATTATTGAGTGATTAAAAAACTGTTTTCTTGGCATCTTCATACAGAAGTTTTCTTCTTAAGGTCCACCAAAGATTGAATGATATGTAGGCTAATTTCTCTATTGAATGACAAAAGTTACTTTGTGGATTTAATTCATAAACCACATACAGGTCTCGGCACTAAACTGGTTGGTTTTCTTTTTGTTATTTTTAGTGTTTTTGATGATATACTGCTTTGCTATGAGTTTTTCCACTCTTTTCTTTGCCATTGTACTTAGGAAATCCCATAGATATATATAGATACTTTATTTAGGAAATATTAAAATGAATAATTTTCTCTGGAGGTTGTTCTCCTTATATAAAAAGATATTGGAAATGACATTTGGAATGTCCATAAGTTAACACAGTCCTTACGTGTTTTTGGAGCTCATACAATGCAAGACAAGTAACTGAACAGTGATATTATAAACTGTATGCTTTTTATATGCTTCAAGGAAGGCGTTCCACGCTATTTGGGCAAAGCTCCTGCTGACTTTCAGGGAAGCCTCAGCTAGTCAAAATCTCGCTTGTAATCATATATTTATACCCTCCTCAAAGTAAGCACGTCACTCTATGATGCCTTCTCAGATGACATTACTATTTCTTGGAGGGGCCTCACCAATCACAGAACACTGATGCTAGTGCTCTTACAGCATTTTGGAAGCCAGGCATTTACAAATAGCATTTGAAAGACTGAGCCAATTCACAGCAGTGTCTTAAAGTAACTATAGAATCTTTCTTTTTTTTTTTTTTAAGACTCATCTTTATGATAGCTTTGGAAATACAAACCATAGATTGAGAGAATTAGGAAAAAAACAAGTTAGAAAAAACAATTTATTAGGTAATATCATATAAATAACTTGTTACAAAAATCAATTTGCAAAAAGGCAAATTCACTCTATCTGTGAGAAATCGTTGTTCAAATTGGTTTCTCATTAAATCCATAAATTTCTTCCCCCCTCCCACCCCCCAAAAGCCATTACAGTGAACAAGAAATATAAGGGAGAGAGTGCACACTTGCCATCTGACCATAACAAATTGCCCAGCCATGCTGCAAGAGAGATAAGCATTTCTGCATGGGGCCCTTTGTAATACAGGAAGCTTCTAGGTGTAAGCCTCTTGAGTGACAGAAATCTTATCGCTCACAAATGTTCCTCTATGCTGACTGGTGACCGTTTCCATCTGATGCTCAGGCTCCCTCATAGAACAAGGGGATGACGTTGCGAGGGACTGTGCGGCTGGAGCATGCCAGCAAGTAAATCCTCCCAGGTGATGGCATCAGTTTCAATTTATGCTTGGAAGTATTTTTAATTAAAAAAATCAATACCGAAAAGCATTTATTTTAAGGGTTTAAAAATCACAGATTGCAATAGGAGTTTGCCAGATTGATTTAGCTCAGTAACACAGTTAAGATGCACATAGCATTTATTATAAGGCCTTTTTTTTTTTTAAGTTTAATTTTCAAAGCAATCAAAGTAATCACAGAATTAAAACAGTACAGTGATTCTGAAGAGTTTTCATGTGTCAAAATCCAAGACAATTTCATGTTTGCAGTGTTGCTTCTTTGTTGTTTTTACCTGAATGCTTAATAATTCTATACATTTGTTTCTTTAATAAACACTAAAGTAATAATCATAGAAAACTAAAAGCTTATAGAAAGTGTCTCCAGGTATATTTACATAAATAGTGCAGTCTCTTAGGAAAGGTCAAAAGCCTGTCGAAGTGGAAGGGAATTCTCTATGTGCTGAACTTGTGCCTTATTTGTCAAATCAACTTTGTGGAAGGGGAAATTTTAAAGTTTGCAGCTCCTGTCTTTTTTATTTTTTTGAAAGGAAAAGAAACATGCAGAAGAAATAAGAGCAGGTTCTGTTAAAAAAAACTCCTTTGAAACCTAGTAACTATGCGTAATATGACAGCTTTCTGGCTTTTAAGTGCTGTGGGGCTGCCTTGTATATGACTGACTACCCTCTACCCTAAACCCCATGCAATTATTTTTCTGCTCTTCTTCCTGAAACTCCCCATTTTCTCACTCTTGGATGCCCTGTAACCCCAGACATGGTTTTTAGATACCCACTGCTGAATTTTATGAACTGTTCATAACAAGTGTATGATGAATGCAGGTCTGGGCCAAAAAGTGTACGACTGCAGAACGATGGGCATGGTCAAGATTGCCTCTGCTGTGCCGAAATAAAACGGCTGAGGGGACAGACTGGCATTAAAACATGAAAGACATCTTCCCTCCTTTCTCAAGTGAGTTGACTACTGTGCTTTTCCCTTCCTACTGGAGCAGCGTGTGAGGCTCTAGACTTTAAATATGCTTTTGTTAACTCTTCTTTTTTAAATACAGAAACAGTCTTTTAGAAAACAGTTCTTTCTAAATACCAAACATTAAAATGTTGTGATTTGACATTTATTGGAGGAGGCTGCTGTTTCACAGTTCTAGAGGGGCTGAAGAGAACACTGCCTTTCACAATTTACGAAATACAACGTACTAGTCAGAAGTAGCGAAGTGCCTGTTAATTTGTCAGCTCTCATTTGACAAGGGAGCTCAGACTGCAGTGTTAATTGAAACACAAAGGGGCAGGAGATGGCAGCACCCAGCTGGGACTGTGGTCTTCTAAAACACTTTAATACCTGTTATAGCAATGAAGTAAAGAGGGATTTAAAACACACTCCCTGTTGGGGAGAGCTAACATAATGGTGTCCCCAGTTACCTGCTCAGAAATCACTGGCCATAGTTCACTGACCACTGCTGCAGAAGGCCAACAAGATAGATCTGTTGCAGAAGTTTAACATGCTTTAATAATAATCATCAGAAACTTGCAGCAGTTCATCAACAGTGGGGACTTTCTTCCCTAGAGATTTGAATCAAAATAGACTGAATTTCTTTTGCTTCTTCCAAAAGAAGATAGTATCTTGCTCCCTATCCATGCAAAACTCCCTCTGGCTGCTCTAGGAATTCTGGAGGTGTTAGAAGTGGCTCTGCACTATCGTCCCTGCTCAACATGGATAAGTCTGAATTAGAAATGTGTCCAGTTGCCAATGTTCATTATTTTCCTCTTTTTATTCATACTGTGCATATATCCATGTGCACACACATTTCCATAGCCATTTTTCCCTGCTCCACTTGTTTATGACCATACTGCTTTTTATGGGATTCATAAGTAAATTAACAATTAACAAGTTCAGTTAATTATTTTTTTTTTCTTTCTGTGACAGAGAAGTAAAAATGTTGTGCCATGTAATGTAGACTACTACTTGCAAAACTTAATAATTTGAAGAATGCCTCTCCCATTCACATTTTACAGCTATGAAATACCTTTCCACAGAGTGAAGTAAGACCTGACAGCTAACAAAATATATAAAATCTCTTTTCTTCTTCTGGAATAAAGTGGCCGCTTTGGGAGTTGGAATGGAATAGCTACGTTAGAATCCTTAGTCTATTATAACTGTAGAGATGTTATTGTTCTGCAATAGCAAGGCTGGGAATTTCACCCATGTAAACAGGCCCTTATTTCACATTAACTGCACGGAACTCCTTGATGTCTCTTAATAGCTCCTCTGTTTTTAGATCAGATGCTTTTTCGAATGAAAAGTGAACTGCGTTGCTCATCTCTGTCTGGCTTAGCTAAGTCCCTTAACATTCTTTCTTCTTCTCAAATAGATAAGGTTCTAATAGGAGCAGTGTTTCTTAATGCAACCTTGAAATCCACCTTGTGGATAATCTAATGCTTCTTTATCTATAAAAGACAATTCTAGCATCGTGTGAAAGCATTGTAGAATACACGTTTCTATATCATCTAGCACTCTGGCATGCAAGAAGGTGCAAAGAAATACTACTGCAAAGTTTTGTATTCACTGCAATATGGCATTTTAAATATTTAATACGCAGCACCAATCTTTTAAACTATACTTTGTGATACTGCCAAGAAAGAAGGAAAGTCAGAATTGAACTCCCCTTGCTGTGCAGGAGAGACACTAAATTTGTCTAATTTGTGGACGGAAAAAGACTTCAAAACCTGGATGTGTAAATAATAATTCAAATATGAGTTATGCATTTTCCTCAAATGTTTTGTTTGTTTTTAGAAGAATCCATCTGCTATTCAGGCACCACATTTGTGTCATTACATAATTTATATAAAATATATTTACACAATAGGCGCAAGTAGCCACTCTCCATTTACTGTGTCACTCGTTGGACAAGATAAAACCATCTATGAAAAAAAAAAAAAGCAAAACTTGAGCTTAACTTGTTACTAACTATCACTAAATTGGACAAAATCGCTGTATGAACATAGGAGAATAGTTACAGGGAGATCAGTGATCCACCCCTATCTTGTTATTCCATCTCAAAGAGGGACTAAGGCAAATTTACTTGCAGATCGGTCCGGTCCTTTCAGGGTTATGGGCAGGCTCCCTGTGTGGAGGCAAGTGTAAGGGCTGCCTTCAGTCAAGTGACAGCGTGTCCCTCTTCCCTTTGGGCTGGGAATGGCTTGTAGCGCCAAACTCCTGGGCATCCACAGGTCTAGAAGGTCTTACAGCCACCCTTGCTGTCCTCTCCCCACGCAGATCTGTTTCCTGGGAGAATTCACTAACTCTAGACATCTAGTGTCGTTCTGAGTTTGAGGCAGGCTGCCCTGTGCTCCCTGTACTGCCAAGAGCGAGAAATAGGCACCTTTCAGGGAGCAGTGTGGAGCACCAAAGTGAGGCTCCTACTTGAAAAAGCCCCCTGAAGGGCACTGTCACCTCTCCACTGACAGCATGAGGAGACCAGCCCAAAGTGAGGAGCCTGCAGTAGGTGGGGTCAAGCATCTACTTCTCTTCCCATGCTGCTGAAAAACATTTTGGAAACAGATGATCTGTCTTGTATACCAGAGCCCGGTTTCGAACAGGCTGCTTCCTGGATGCTCTGATTTCAAGGAAGCCATGAAGGGCTAGACTTTTAAAGGTATCATCTTAAATCGCAGAGAGATCCTTAGGAGAATGTTAGAAGAGCCTAGCTGCGTCATTGCCGTTGTGACAGGCACAGCAGGCTCAGGCACCTAACTCCACTGGAATAAAGTACCTTGAGAGGCCTCAGTGAGACTGGAGGCTCAGCAGCTTTCAAAACTCTGGACCCTCTCCACTCTGACAACCCATCTTATCTATAGTGCTGAGCATCTATGAACCACTAGCTGCCTTGGTTTAAACTTGCAATTGTGTAATGATCTCCTGCAAAGGAGTCCTTTCTGGTCATGGGAGGACATCACATATAGGCTGCTTGTCCTTTAGGTGTGAGCTGGTTTGCAAAATCTGAAATTATGTTGTCATGCTCATAAATTTTTAATAGTCTTGCATCCTGCTACTCTCCTTATTTAACTCTGAGTAATGAATTCCAGGGACTAATTTTTAATCCCTTTTAATTTCTGTTTGTGAACTTTTTTCCTTGTATTTTATTTTTTGAGTAAATTATTTGGTTTTCAAATTGATTCACTTGCAAATTGATTGCAAGGAGTGGGGATGGGGAATCAATCCATGCCTGTAATTCTAGTATGAAATACTGTTTTGAAAATGAAATAAATTAGATTAGTTATTTGTGAGGGATATATGTGCATATATATAATATATATGTATATACACATACATACATATATATAAAAGTCCCCCTTTCCTTGGTATGGTGTCACAGCTCCCTACTGTGGGACTCAGGAATGCTTTTAGCTCCTGGAACTGGGTGGGCCTCTTGGCCACCACTCAGGATTTTCTCTAAATAGTATCTCTGGGTACTAAAGTGTCTGGGTTTGAATAGCTGCTACTGCATGTTCTTGGCAGACCAACAGAAGTACTGGGTGATGCACCCAGCTGTAAAGAAAAGGTTTTGGTCTGAGTACTATAGTAATCCCTTCCCCCCTGCCTTGACAAAAATCACTTAACTTGGCAAAGCAGATAAACACATGCACTGAGCACTTGTGTTTAAAATGCTCTCTCTTAGTGAAGTCTTTAATGACGCTAGCTGACTAATTTATTAGAAAGAGAGTAATAGTTATAAACCCTACTTTTCAGGCTGCTGGAACTACAGTTGATTCTCACTTGTGCATTCAGGGCTTGAAACAGCAAATCAAATCCAAAAAGAATGAGAAATTACTTCCTGTGGCAGAATGCCATCATCTTCGCTCTCTGAAGCATTGTCCAAATGACTCATCTAATCCTTGCAACATCCTGATGAGGTAGGCATTATTTCCCCACTTAACAGATGGCAAAACTGGACAGAGAGTCAGTCAGGGAGCCACCCTGGGCATCCAAGCAGGGGAGTTCAGGGCATAAAAGTACTCCTTTCCTCCTATGCAGTTCCTTCTCTTGCCTCAGTGGGAGGTAGTCACTTTAAAGCAACCACTCCCCTCCTGCACATGAGAACAGGCAGAAGTAGATGGATATGAAAAGCCTAACTCCCGTGACCCCAGCACAGCGGCCAGCACCGCTGAACTGATGTGCAGGTGGAAGCCATCAAAAGTACAAAGAAAAGTTTTTGTTCTGCTCCTTCCTCCAAGTCACGGTCTAATCTGGACTTGGATTAGATGACTTGCCTCATATCACAAGGCAAGTCTGATTTAGAACTTGGATACTGTCCAAGAATTAGATATAGGGGCTACTGACCACACACACATGCACGCACACGCATCTCCAGCAATGCTAGGTCAGGAGAATATATACATAGCAGTCAATGAAATACATATTTATATGTGTGTGTTAATATGATTCAGTGCATTGGGGGCAATGGCAAGCTCTAGAAAAACACTTAGATTTGAATGACCATTAGGCCTTTCTACCCTCTTCATGAGTAAAATGCATGTTTGATGGTTTTTCTCAGCGGACTCTACTTTTGTAATAAACCTCCATTCCACCACCACTACTTTTGACTATAATACATAGGTTAAACTAGGGTACCTCATTACATAAGGATGTGCAATACACAATCAACAGAGCAGTTGTCTGAGCCGAGTAATCCAAATACAAGTAAAAGAGTAAGTGAGCTTAAACAGTAATATACTCCAATTTACAATATAAGCAGAACAAATAAAAATATTGCTCCCCATCTGATCCTTTTTTCTCTCCTCTACTCCTGTACCTGTAAGATTGACTTGGTAAACTGGATCCACTAAAAAATAATAACTTTGCCTCTTGGAAGCTCATGAAATGATACTAGAAAAAGTTTTCTGACAGTTGAGCCACACAGACTGCAGTCATTAGACAATTAGAACTGGTAGAATAGAGAACCCTTTCACAGAGCTGTGGAGAAATAGAAAGAAATAGCCACTTCACATATCTCAATGCTGTTTCTGAAAATGAAAAAAAGAAAAAGGCAACAGATTAACAGTCTTTGTCACTGTCCATTGCGCCATACATGTCTGCCAGCTTTTTAAATCGAGGCCCCCAGTCACTGAGGTAATCGTAGTCCTGATCTCCATCTGTAGTCACTGACTCCAAGGAGCTGAGGGACTCTGCCACAGAACCATTACCTTCATATGCGTAGGTTGCTAATGAGTCATATGGGGGTGCGGTTGGATCGATATCATTTTCCTTTAACCTTTGGTTAATGAAATCTCTGACATCTGTGTTATCTCGCACTGCTGCAGTCCGCCGTGGCATAAAAAGTGTTTCTGGCACGATGTCTCTGCGTAATTTATTATCGTCTATGGCTTCGGGATTCCTCAGTGTGCCAATATCAAATGCCTGGGTATCTTCCTCTCCACCACCTTCGTCGTTATAACTGACAATGTTGTCTCTGATGTCCTCTTTGGAAATAATCAAAGGCTCTTTTTTCCGTTGCCGTCTCAGTGCTGCAAACAGCACAACTGTAACTGGAAACAAAAATAACAGGGGAAGAGAAAGGCAAAAGTTAATCCCTAACTCCATTAAAATTCACAGGAAATGCTGTGCGACTTGAACTCTAAGTTTTAAAAGACATTCTGCTAAACTGTGAACACATACTTTAGGTTTTCAGATTGTGCCTTGTCTGCCTGTGAGTACCTTGTGAAATGAGATGGCATGGATATGTAGTAGAAGAAAGGAGATGGGAAAGGAGATGGCAAGCTTGTAAGAGGCTAAGCACAGTGTCATTTTGTCAGAAGTCATAGTTTTACCTGGAGACCAGTTGCTTTGAAAACTGAGCTAGTTTCGTGAGCGTTGGGAAGGGAATAACACATTCACCAAAACAGGTAATGATATCAGACATTCATTACCTTGAAACTCGGGGATGAGATGAAACTTGTGCTATGGAGAAGGCTAGTATCTACTGGGCTGTCATGAAAGGTTAGCAAGGCTGCATCTCAAGAACAGTAAATACCTCCATGGAACATGGAATAGGTTCTGAGCTAGCACAAAGTACAAGTTCGGTTAACTTTCCTGGCATTTTTACAATGTACATCACCTTAAAAAAGCACACAGCTTAGATCTTAGAGACTAATGAGATAATACAATGGCATTACTTAATCTACCAAAGATATGAGATTTCTCAAACAGATATTTTATGCCTTTTATAAATATATCTATAATATTATTGTATATATTATTTATTATTAAAAAGTATACAAGTACTCTAAAGTGTGTGTATATATATACATTTATATATATATATAATTTATATATATATATATGTATGTATGCATGTATATATATAAAAAAATCTTCTTTTCTAAAGGTAGAAATTCTTTCCTAGGCCCTGATCCAGATTTACATATTTGCACTCAATAATGATCCCCACTACTGTCGGAGAAGTAGGCATGGAAAGGTGGGAGGGGATGTGTTCGACACTTTATTACCTTTAGAAGCTTCTTTAGTTGGATACTTCCTTGAATGAATGAATATTAAAAAATGAATAGCGGCAAGGAGCAGGGATGTATTACTACTATCGCTGTTGCTTTGGTAGTCTGAGGCCCAAAGTGCCCACTATGTCAGCTCTGCTGTGCAGACTCAGAAAAGAAACTGCTGTCTTTGTAGTTCTTTCTTACGAAAGCAAATCAGAAAATATCTGCACTCATTGATATGCAATAAGGTGGATAAAAATAGTCTCTCATCAGCTGTATTTCTGAAACTGTTTGAAACAAGGCATAGTAACTGTCAGTCTTTTTCTTCTGCAGTCCCTCCTTCATTTGTAACTCTGTTGAAGACATTTTCAAGTACTCAGGATATCCCCAAAACAAAATTTTAACCCATTGAAACTAATCTTCCTTAGTTTCCCTTGTCAGACAAAAATACTAAAAACAAAAAAATGAAACAACATGACTCAGAGCAAGATGCTCTTTGTAAGTGAGCTCAAGCACATTCTGGAAAAGTCTCTTACCCTTTTTTTCTCCACTGACTATAGGGGGACTCAAGAAGACAGAGTTAAGTAGGAGTAGAGTTAAGTAGAGTAGGAGTAGAGTTAAGTAGTAGGAATTCTCTCCTAATTCCTGCTATGTCTTTGCCATAGAATAGTGTGAGAATATCTGTCAATATGAGTTGAAAGGAAGTGAGTGAAGTGGCGAAACTGAAAGAATTAGGAAGGCTCGTTCAGATGGTGAAAGCCTCACACTCTCATACCCATGATGATTTACTTATGGTGTCACGTAAAGGCCCTAATTTGAATGCTGTTTCTTTATGCTGCTGTACAAAAAACACAGTAAGAGAAAAGTCCTGTCCTTAAGAGAATAAATCGGTGATACTATCTGGGAAGACTGGGGGAAAGTTTATATGAGAGAACAGAAGTATCTGGACAAAATCATGGAGAGCTTGAAAAACACAGGGTTAGTTCTGAATGGGTTCTAGCATAGTAACTGGTAGAATTATCTGAGAAAGCATAGGAATTGTAGTTTTCTTTTTACATGGAAGCATTGCTGAAGTATCCCATTAACAAAAAAGATGTTACACAGAATATGCTAGGATGATTCCTAAAATTGTGTAAGAGTCAAGGCACAGTAACTATCATTAATTAACTTTCATTAATAATTAGGCCACATCCTTGAGTTTTCTTATTTTGTGCTGAAACATCTAGGGGGACAAAAACCCCTAGATGTTGAATGTTAAACTACATAACCTTTTCTGGTCAACTTTTAGCAATATCTGAGGCCTCCTAATAAGCCACTAGGCCTACTCAAACTGCAAATAAAATCAGCAATTTTCAGGTACTTTTCGTTGCTGCTAAACTTTAAATTTAGGTTCAGGTCTGCCCACAGTATTGTTTTTCACTCAGTAGTGGTTTCACATGCCAACCCAGCAACCAAACTGAAAATAGAAATTTTTATATATATAGTGGAGTTAATTGAAAATCTGCTTGTGGTGCATGGCGACCTGAGCAATAATTGACACAAAGTGCTGCTTAGCACACAGAATCAATTATTTTCGATTGACATAAAACAGGAAATTGCTTTAATGTTAGATTGATATTAATGAGCATAGCTGTACTAACTAGTACAAAACTATCTGCAGGTCAGTTTTCTTTATCTGATAAGGAACTTTATACAAAGTGAGCTCAGCCCTTAGATGCAATCATACCACGTTTTGAAAAATAATTTTAATAGCAAATTAAAGGCCCTGGGAATCCTGTCTGCATTCCCTTGTGGGAATCCTTTCTGAAAAAGGGATAGCGTTTATCTGAGATTTGACTATGTTGTTGATATCTGAGAGTCACCACGTAGTCTTTGTCTCGTGACTGGAGAGGGGAATTTCTTGCTAACAGTACAGATCAAGGTGATTCTGCTGTGGTGATGAGTGTGTTTGAGGGAGATAGGAGTATGACAGAAACAAGTGGAATCATTGAGGAAACATTTTTCTCTCTTACTTAAACCTGCTGTTATAAAACTGATCTGAATCCTTTTTTCCTGGGCAGATGCTAATGGTGACTAATAAAGTCTCCTTGAGAACTGCCTACGTACAAATGCACTGTTCTCACCAGATGACTAGACTATGGCACAGCTTTTCTGTTTGCTGTATGGCGTATGAGAGAGGTAGAACCTGGCTGAGAGGAATATGCAGGGAAACATTGCAAACCACCTAAGGGTTTTTCAGTTAAAAAAGGCTGACCACCTTTTTTAAGGTAGCCTGAGATCTGTCCATCCTCCAGACTCAGGAGATGCCAACTTCTTCATATTCCCAGGTGCCAGAAATGAGGGACACTGTTGCTTTGGAAAGAGTGCTTTAGCAGTCACCCCCTTTCAGCATCCATCTCCAGCACAACAAAAGTACTACATGAGACTCATTTCTCCTCACTCTAGAGGTGGAAAGTTAATTGTTTAAAACTAAGTTATCTGGCCTCCTTCTATAGTCATTGGAAATAGACAGACACCTCCAAAGGGAGATTTGTCTTACCCACCTCAGATATCAATGAGAGGATGGGATGAATGGCTCTCTAGAGGTGCCTGTCTCTTTCCACTGACCAGAGGGTAGAGCCCAGTCATCTCGTCTTGCTTGGACTTTGCTAACTTTTAGACAACTACTGCCAGGTAGGATGAATTGTATCTACCATGTCTGTGGTAGCCCTTTAGAGAAGGAAATAAAATAATATAAATGCGAGATAAGACATTTGGTATCTCTGCTTTGCTATTGCTCTAGCCTTGGCATAATCACTTGTAGCAATGCCAAATAAGTCACCATGACCTATGAGAGTGATCATTCTGATCTGAAAGAGTTCTATCCCCTTGCCACATTTATTTTGAGTAAAACCAGTTTAATTTCTTTGTCCTTCTAATAAAGGAGAGAAACTTTCCATGTATTATTTGTGTGAAATGCTCACTCCTAATCCAATTCTGAAAGAAAAAATATCTCTCTGCCACTTACCTAGTAATATAATGATACAGAGAAGAATAGCAATTAGAGCCCCAGTGCTAAGACCAGTAGGATGAATCAAGGCTTCTGCATTACAGGACAACATCTTTCCTCGATGGTCACATGCACATACTCGAATAGTCACTGTTTCGGTGCTGCTCTGGATAGGGTAGTCATTATCTGATATTACCACTGGCAAGAGGTAGGTACTCATTTCATGCCGGTTATATCTGGTTTTTCGGGTGAAAATCCCTGCTGTGTTGTCTGGAAACACAAAGCAAACGTTATAGAAGTACTCATCTGAAAATCAAAGCCAAGGATGAGCTTTATAAAGAAGGTCTTCTGAGAAATTCACCTCTGTTGTCCTGGAGTGTAAAATTTGAACTGCTGGCTGCCTCAGGCGCTAAGGAGAATGAAAATTGGTGTCCACTGAAAGAGTCATCTTTATCGACGGCACTTAGTGTTTGTATCAGCTGAAACAATAAGAAAAACATTATCTCCAAAGTCACTGGGCCTTACTCTTATTTAGCTATATGAGGGTTGTAAAGTGATCTTATTGTATTAACTTCTTTCTTCTGCTTTAAGGCAGTTGATGCTGCTACAGCGAGCTTAATAAAAGTGATTCATGTGCTGCTGATGCTGATGATGTATCCCAGGCTGTCAGCTCAGTAATGTAATGAATTTGGAAATCGGCAGGAGGATCATGTTGAATTTGAGAGACGGCTTGGGCTGATGCCACTCCTGCTGGACAGGAAATTTTTTCATTTGACAAGGAATAGAAATGAAAGGTGAGATAGTCCAAGCTGTCTTTATATGTATCCACCCAAATCCCACGTCACAGGACTTATTTGTCTGTCTTCTAAATTATCTGCTACTTTGAACCATTTAACAGTAGGTCCTGTAGAGAGAGAGTTATCTGGCAGCCACTAGTTATATCACAGACAGGACTTTGTAACCTGTCAGACCTGTAACCGTTTTCTGAAAGAGGCAGTGGAGGTGCCTCAATATAACAGAGCATGTCAGAGGGAAAATGCATCAAGGATAACACAGCACAGTACAGAAAGCAACTGTGTAAAACATAATGTCACATTAGCTGCAAGAATACTAAGGATAATCACATTCTGCGCAGCCACTGTTTAATTTAATTTAATTTTGCAAAACTGACAGTTTGTTGCAATGCAAAGTACACCTCTTGATGAGGTGATGCAAGAGTAGTATAGAAACTTGATTCATACAGAATATTTTCTTAGTACAAGCAGTCAACACACCTGTTCTGCCTTTGCGTTTTCACAGACGAAGGTCTCGTAAAACATGGGAAACTCTGGGGCATTGTCATTTACATCCAAAACCTTAATGAACACTGGGACACGGCTGCTTTGTTTTGGGTTATCTGCAATGATAAAAACGGAAAGAACAATTTATTTAGTCCAGCTACTGACTCAGTGCAGGAGAGGAAAAGGACAAAGTTGAGGGCTCATTGCCTTAAATCTTTACTTGTTCATAACATTCCACTTATATTCTGTTGATTTCTAGGGAATTGACTATGGAGATGATTCCACAAAAATCAGGCTTTGCTGTCATTACTCTGGTTCTGTGTAAACTATTTGGCTAAGATTGGGTAGGAATGAGTCCAGGGTTTACAAATTCGTTTGAACAATCCATGAATGTACATGTAATATATATAAAAGAAAATAATGAAATTAAATGAAATAAATGTATTAGCCTAAAATATACAAGCTGGAGAAAACAAGATTTCTGTAAGAGGAGATCTGAACTGGCATGAGGATTTTTTTTTACCTCTCCATCTGTGATAGACAATAGTACTTCTCCCTACAAATCTGGCGTCACATTTAAACTACCATGACTACCATTACAATATATAAATAATAACGGCTGTGGCTACCATAGATCTTTAATCTAATCTTGTGTGGATTGATTTAGCTGATGTTCTAGAGCTGATACTGAAACATATGGGCTGAAGAACATAAGCACTATACAGAATCTGCAGATCCCTATATATAAACATGCTGTTTCTCCCATAAGGACTATATAAGTACCCAGGAATTGAGTTTGACAAGGATATTCCTGAGCACAAAATACTTATTAAAATATTACCATCTTCATATACAGAAATGGAAACATTTGGACTATTCGTCTTCCTGTTGACTAATGAACAGACAGGCTTTAATAATAAAGATCCCCAAAATAAGGGAGGAAGCAACCTTGGGCAGCAACCTTGCATAAGAAGCATGAAGGATGAAATTGGCAAGATTTGGAGGCGAAAGACCACATCATAATAACCACTGAGTCGTACAGGTATAAAAGACCTGTCCCAAAACCAGTTTGTCCTCATGAATCAAGAGGAACCCTAGAGACATTGCCAGGGCTTGATAATCAGTGTCTCTTGTCCTCCATATCACATGAAAGCGATCCTGGACAGACCAGCTAGACATATACAACATAATGTTTGGGAATGTATGAGTGTGGGAAAGTGAGACAGTGACATCTATGAGGGAATGTGTGTGACTGAAATCAGTTTTATTTAAAGTAAATATAATCTTCCCCTTTTCATGAACTTATATTGAATTTTGTTATGTTAATTTTCTACCCGTGTTATAGTTTATTAATACAACGTAAACTATGTTTCAAGTGAAAAAAATGGTTGAATAAGATATAGCAGGTCTATGACTCTCTATGCTTCCACAAGCATTCATTATAGTCGTTTGTTGAGTTAGGCTTTAGTGCAAGCTCTGTCGCTGCATTTATAATACTTCTACAAATTTAAAAATGCCTTCTTGAAAATTGGCACTGTGCATTTATATTACAGAACTCAGTCATTTGGACAAAATATTATACTTTAAAGCTCTATAGTCCCATTGAAGTTAATATGATTCCATTAGGCATAAAAAACTCTCATATGAGCCATTGGGCTAAATTCACTCTATTTAGTTGAATGTGTATTCAGTTTATGTGTAATATCTCTATTAGCTGAATTCTAAGCTAAAATACATCAATACAAATGTTACATTTTTAAAGGCAGAAATCAAAAGCACTCATTTAAATCTGGAGCATTGCAAGACTGGTTTGTATGAGCATACCTTTCTTAACAAATGCATTCAAATATATTGCCAAATATATTTCTTTTCCTCTCACAAATTACAATCTTTTTTGTTGCTTTTTGAACCATTAACTATATGTTTTTATTTTACTTTTTCTAGGTGCTGAAAATTTTAAAAAGATATTGTACTAAATAGGAGTTTCATGAAAACCATACCCTCTGTGGGCATAGGCCTTTTTTTGATTTCATGGAAGTGTAAGTGGAAATTTAGTCATATAACTTAAAGGTTTTTTTTTTTTTCTTTTCAAACTATTTGGGAAAATGAATTGGTGTAGATTTTGTTTGCATTGTCCTTCAACACTGCTGAGCTCCAACAAGAAGTTCCACCATATGGAACACAGAGCTCCTTAAATCTGTTAATCTATATAGCAGTATGTTTTCTTTTTAGCCATCAACCAATCTGAAAACTTAGAAGTTTTTCTGAACATGGCCTCAAAGTCCTGCCAGTGTTTGATTTACCCGTATGTCTTAAGCAAAGAATATTTGTTTTAAAATACTCTCAGAATTCTCTCAGATGAATTAACTGTAATTCTGCAGCTGTGATTTGGGGGCCTTGTGTTCTGAGTTTTATTATCAGTTTGCTTTCTGATTGTGTCTGGTAAACTGATCTAATGTTTCACCAAGTATTTGCTTGCAACATTCAGAGCATGATTCTTATGGCTGCTGAACAACTGCAGCTCACACTGATGAAACACAGAGTTATAGGGAGTGTGTGTTTGGAAAAAAAAAAGCCCGAAAGTGTCTCAAGAGCATTCAGCAATGGAACTATCTACAAATAGTGTCCATTTTAGATAATTCAAGGCAAAATTATGTATTTCCATTTTTTTAACTGTAAAATGAAATCAACAATAGTTATCAATGAAAAGTAGTTCTATTTATGACTGTACCATTTTATTACTTTTTATATCAAAAGGAACAACTACCTTTCTGAATGTGTGTCCTGGCTGTAGCTTGACTGGATATTTGTTTTAGGTTATTTCAGAGAAATATACCTGGAGTTTGATGTGATGGTATGTCACTGAGAGTGATTAATGATCAGCTGAAACTTAATCGAATGGGACTTAAGCTAGCCTTGCTTGAAGTCACTAGTTTTAGCTAGGAGTGGTGAGTGGTGGTGTTTTTCAATCTAGTCACTTGAGACTAAAAATTAGCTTTGCAGCCTGGATCAGACCAAGGATTGTTTCAACAGTAGCTCCAATTCAGCCAAGGAAGTTGGCTTTGGAAGGCATCTACCCCAGTTAAGCCAAAATCACTGTAGCTTCAGTGAAGCACAGCTTGAGAAGTAGCTTGTTGCAACCTGGAAGGATTCAACTAAAGAGGAATTGTAATTAAGATAGAAGCTGTGTCAGACACAAAAGGTTTAGTTTAGAATACCTTGCCTAGTATAAAGTCTATCTTCATGTGACACACTTCATATTGGAGTGTGCCACATGCTTGTAGTTAATCTATTACTATAAAGAGGATTGTTTATTAAGGCTACCTAGCATAACACGTTCTCATCTAGATCCCCTACGTTTTAGCTGCTAGCATCAGCGTGACTAGTATTATCATGAGATGACTTTTGAGCAGTCCTAAAGTAAACAACAGGATAGTTTGTTACTATGGATTAGAATTTCAAAGGAGAGTAAAGAAGTTAGAAATGGAAACCCAGTTGAAGCTGATTAAGAACTGGGCACCTAGATCAATTCAGCTTCTTTAGGCCTACTTGAAAACATCAAGCCTGTGCTATATTCAGGTTAGATCAAAACGAATTTGACTATGGAATGCAGTTTGATTTTAAACCACGCTGTATACCCCTTTGCAGAATTCAGCATTTCTATTCACATTTAAAAATGGCTATTACTAACTAGAAAACACAAGTGTTACCTTTCCCTCCTGCTCAGCTAAATTATCTCTTCATAAACTATCCCTAAGAAACAGCAAACTGCAGACCGTCTCTTCTAGAGTTTCTGCTGCTTCATTACTACTGAGTAGGCCTATCCATTTAACCTGACATCTGCCCAGCCATGCTTTCCACACACTCATCTAGTAGGCTAAATTCATTACATCAGGGACAGCAGTGGTATCTAAGTTTGACTTACTGATCTCTGCTGCTATTACTGTAATGTTGTGCCATAGCAATGTTTCCCGGTCAAGGGGTTTTGAAGTAAATATCGAACCATTTCCTGAATTGATGTTGAATACTCTGTCCATATCAGTGTGTCGATCTACAGAATACCTGCAAATACAGATAAAGTCGTTAGAAGAATGCTCTCCTTTTAATTTCTATGTCCTTAAAACATTTTCTAAGACTAGACATCAAACAACAAGTAAATGGGGTTGCCTTTTGTTTTCACTGCAGGCTTCAGCATCTTTATATATTCGTACAAAGAACTTGTTCTGAGCTGCTAGATAATGACACGTTGGAGGTTTGATTTAGAAGGTGGGGCATTGTCCCAGCATAAATGAATTACTGTGGATTTTTCATACCTCTGAGACTCATCAAAGCTTTGTTTTTAGTGAGAAATGTGAAGTCTGTGTCCTGAAAGATATGAAGTTTATTTTAAGGCTGAGTTGGCTTTCCCATTATAAAACCTTCTTTTTATGGTTTGATATATCAACTGTTCCAAATCACTTCCGACAGAAAATTTGACAGCTGGGGTGCATTTGTTCCTTTCACTTCCCAGCGTTTAAATAGACTGCCCCCAAAAAGCAAGTCAGCAAGAAACAGATTCATTACTGTGGTACATATCACATAAAGGTTTACTGTAATTCATTAAAACTAACTTGCTCAGCCCTGCCTGATGGTAACCTAGATGTGAAACTGAATGCTAACAAGCTCTGGAGGAGCTCAGAGTCTAAATATGGATTCAGATTTTTAATCTGATCTTTCCCTTTCTTTTCTGCTGAACTGAATCTAACTTGTAGAAAACTCCAGTTTATGGGAGAGTGTGCTACTGTCCTGATCCACATGCTCCGACTTGATTCCACCTGTTATGAAAAGAAAATTATTGCATAAATTAGGGAGGTTTTGACCGAAGTATGTCTCTGATATTGTGAAAGCAAGTATACAACTGCATTATTCTGTTCTTATTTCAACCCAAACGTGCACTGATGTACAGCCCAGAGCCTTAGGAAGGCCAGTGTGCTCCCTTGGTCTCCTTGCAGGCCACAGGAATGGAGGGAAAGCAGCTGCTGCTGTCCCTTGCATCTGGGCAAGGATAAAGGTACAGCTGAGCCAGTATGCAGTCGGATTAAAACTATGCCTGGAGAATGACAGAGAGAGTATCACTGTAGAACGGAGGAATGCAAAGGCTAAAGAAAGAAGTTTCCATTTCCTGCTCTGCTGTAGGAGCAGCTCTGTGACATGTTCATAATTCTGCACAGATATTCTGCACAGTTCCTGTGCAGTGTCTCTTAACTTCAGAGGAAGATCCTTGTATGGAAGAATAGAATAGAACAGTTCAATTCATACATGTGATTCTGAGAAAAGTTTAAATTAAAAGGCTAACCTGCTAATTATCTTGTAAATGAATGCTTTTTTGTTCTTTGCAAGTAAACAAATGGGATATAATATCCACAGTAATTTAGCCTGACCTTATTCTAAAATGAGAATTTGGTGTACCCTACCTCTCTAAAAAAAATTGTAGCGAGTACTAATTACTGAATTACTTTTCTTTCTCAACATTGAATTCCACAGATGCAGCCAAATTAGATTCAAAGGTACTCACACAGCTAAAGTGTTTGGGAGGACTTGCATAGCTGTCCCTTGCTACTTCTTCAGTAGTTGATTTAGTCTTTACTTTTTACTCTCACTGGACCAACAGTTCCAAAATTTCAGCTATAAGGAGTCAACCGACCTGGTGTCGCTAACCTAGTTCCTTTATGCAATATTATGACATTCCTGACAGCTTGAAAAGACAATATGTGAAAAGGTGTGTAATATGCAGTGCTGACTGATGGGACAGCTCCAACAGAGTATATAATTTTATCCAAATCTCAGTATTACGTGTGAATTCATTGACTTAGCTGAAATGTTTGATGGAAACAGGTTTATACAAACCAGTCTGAATCGCTTACTTTTTGACAAGCTAAGTATTTGATATGGTAAACATTTCATTTTAACTTTCATTCATTCAGGCATTTCATTCATATGATATTATGTTGGTATTTTGTGAATTAAGTTATTTTTCAGATATTCTGCATCTCATTTCCATATCTTTTTCCTGAAATACTTTAGTGTTTCCATTTGGCAGTAAATCTAGATTTTTCGTTCCTATTTGAAATGAAATATCAGGATTTCCCATAGATTAGCTATTCTAGACAACTATCATAGTATGTTTTAGGCTCTTATTCAGCAAGATATTTAAGCAAGTGTCTAGCTTTAGGCGTGAGTAGTCCATTTTTCTAATCTTCAATTATGCTCTCACTTATGCTTCATATTATGAATGAACTTGAAACATTTTGCTGTCTTAGCACATTTTAATGCCTGTACATTCTAATCACTATAATTACTTTATAAAATTTCCTAAATTCAGTTATGTCTGTGATACAGTATCTAGGAGAAATGAAAAAAATTCTTTATGGACTCTTTCTAAGCTTATCACAGCTGTAACATGGAGGTTTTTCTCACCAAGATATTCAGAATTTAAAATATAAGTCTTTTTAAAATCCTGTGTATATTCAAGTCATTTGTAAGCTCAAAAAAGCAATAACAGAGAACAGCTTCTTAATGAAATGTTAATTTTATTTCTTCATATTTGAGAGAAAATACATACAAGGTCAATGCTGTTAAAGTATATTCTAATTATACCATTAACCCTAGCCTAGAAGGATGATTTTAATAAGTAGGACTGTCACTTTTGTTTCTCAGTTTATATAATCCCATCTCTTTTGATCAAGGTTTGTTAATTACATTGAATTGGTGGCGATTCTGACTTAATGGTTCGTAACCTACTAAGAATTAAGCAGACAAGATCAAACGCATTTTTACATTTATTTAATGAAAATACTAGTACTTATTTGTCAAATTTCAGGACTTCACCCCTTTCAAACCTTGATGACTTGACAAGCTAGGAAGTTAAAAGGTATATATGTAGATTCCTTTCTCTCCTTGTATATAGTGAGAAGAAGGAGGAGGGAGAAAGACAGGTTCCAACACATGCAAATATGTTGTCAGTAAAACACACAAACAAAATTAAGCCTTACATTTGTTTGCAGATCGTTTTCGTCTGGGATACTTTAGTAAATCAAATCACAGCAGGGAGGCAGTTTCAGTGACTGATGAACTTCATTATGCCTCTGAGAAGTTACTATAGCAAAAAAACTCAACTAGCAATTTAAAAAGATCTGTTGTACAATACAGCAGTGCCAGTTGCAGCATTTTTTCCCAGTATGCAGTGGATCATAATATCATTCCTGTTTAGATTAAGCACAAGTAGAATGCAAAACTTCTTTTTTATAGCATAACTGGACAGTGGAGTATTAATCAGGAGTTTATTGATGTTCCTATCTATGGATAACTATTTAAATATAGACAAACATCTATTGGTATATTTTTGTACTTTCCTGATGTCGTGTCGCAGACAAGGTTATTTATAAGAGCTGAGCTGATGAAATGGGGCTCCACCAATGCACAGATGGTGAATGATGCACTCTAACAACCAAGGCAGGTATCCATTTCATATTCTGCTATTGCTTCATTGTCTTCCTATACTCAGCAGCTTGCCGTCTAATGCAACCGCGAGTCAGGAAGATTTGTGGGTCAGGAAGAGATGTGTGTGTGAATTTTTCATAATGCATTTTCATAACGATATTGTGAAGGTTTCCTTTAATGGAAGATCAAAGGATCTTTCATCTAACAGAGTTACGGCTCAGATTGTTTAAAAAGAGAAATCTTCACTCAAGTAGAGGAGAAAATGGAAGGCTTTCATTGTAACATCAAGTGTCTAAAGATTTTATTTTAAAATGTCAAGGAAAATTGACAAGCAAGTGACAAGTCTTATATATACAGTCTAATTGCATCTTTCCCGAAGCTCAGAGTGAAAATCGGATTTAGCTTCTCCATTGCATGATGGAAAAAAAATCACCCTGTCAAAAAGATGCAGATTCAACCTGTGCCCCTAAAGTCTAGGAGATACCCAAGATATTAACACCATAAAATCACATCTTATTGCAAGCTTACATCTCACAGACTACTGCTCTCTGTTGATTTCCTTCCCCTCTTCTGATTTTCCTGTTTCCTCTTGCTCCATTTATTTCTATTACTTTAACCTCTTCCTCATTTTTCTTTTTCTTCTCCTTTCACCTTGATTGTTACATGCTGGTAGCGTACAAGACAAGTTTCTGCTGCTCTGCATGAATTTTGACACCTCTATTATATTTTGCTCAATAATTATCTAATATCTCCTTATTCTAATATGCAAAGTACCTATACAGTATTAAAGAATTACTCTGTGAAAGACTGGCAAAACTGAAAAACTTCTAGCACGCATATTCAGGAAAAGAGCCAGTAGGCAACACTCAACAATGCACAGCATTCAACAGCACTTGACAATCCCTATCCAATATAAAGCACTTACTTACAATTAGGAGCTGGCGATTGTAACAGTTGTAGTTCTCGCCACAAAGAAACAAACCGATCACTTCCCTCATTCTCCAGTGCGATTACATACGAAAAGGAGGTTCATATGAGGACTGGAAGGGGCCAGGTTTCCACCTCAACCCAGCTTTCATTTTCATGCTAACGTGCCCAAGAACACATGCTGTAGAAGGTGTTTATTCTGTCCCTGGGCTTCTCCAAGATCAGCAAAAAACGATGTGGCCATTCACATTACTATGCTCTGCTAATCCAGAAGGTCATATAATTGTTGCATGTCATGATATAAATAAAACTAAACCTTAATTAAAATTGGAGGGATTTAGTGTTGAACTAGAATTCCTGTGCAAAACAAGAACAAAAAGAGTTTCTGCCACAAAAGGTTTTTAGATTTAATTTCATCATCTAGGAAATTGAGATGATAATATTCATCCATCTTGCAAGGTGTGCTGAGAGCTTAAAACATGCTGAGGTTTCATAAGCATTGTGAGATATCTTGATGAAAGACGGTTGTTTGCAGAAGTGCAAAGTATCAATGGAGTGGACTTTATTAAACTTGCATTGTTCTATTTTGATCTGAAGGCTACTATTGCATTTCCAAGATGTCCAACCCAGAGACATGCTGAAAATTGACCTGAATTTCATATTGCTGTATTTTTCATTTCCTCCTTTAACTGGCTTCTCAGTAGCAATGAACTGTAATTAAAGGGCACAGCTATTTAAAAGTTCTTTCCTACTCTATCCAACATGATTTAAGTACTCAAGTATGTTTTCAGATGTACTGAGCTTTCTAAGTGAGACTTCTGTTTTATAAACCGACAATGTACCTATTAAACAATGTACAGGAAAGGAGAGCCTAGGTTTAGCTACTCTGACCTTAAAAGTCTCTCCACTTCCTCTAAGCATAGTTTATTGATTCATGGCAAGTGTAATTTATGAAGTCTATGATCCTGATTCTTATCTTACTAACCTTACACTGATAGAAGTGAGATCAGAGTCTATGTGCATATGAGCTGCTTTTAAGGCATTTCTACTTGTAGTTTAGAGAAGGTAAATGTGACCTTAGTTAACCAGGGTTAGAAGAATGGGAGAAGAAAGGGCTGCTGAATCACTCTCCTGTCACACAGCCAAGAGGATGCACTGCACTGGAAAGTGTTAGAAGCGGACGGGGAACACTAACATCTTTTAGTGCTCTTTTTTGCAGTAAATCTTCCCATGTAGGTAGTGTCATTGAGAAATAACCACAGACTTCAGTTACTGAAGAAGCTAGGGTGTATTTCAATGGTGTGAGGGGCATGCACACACAATCACACATACATGTATATGCTCTAGTGTGAGACATCATTTGCCATCTACAATACTCTGCATTTAAGCATACCTGAACAATTTCATTAATTTTTTTTTTTTGTATGCTGACATGAATTAAATACAATTAAGGAGTAAAAAATGTAAGCATGAGGTGAAGTAGTTAATGCTTACTTGACAGGGTTCTTGGCAGCGTCTGGATCCTGAGCTGTTACTGTTCCTATTATGCTGTTTATTGGAACATCTTCTTTCACTTCAATTATATATGCTGGTCTGCTGAACACTGGGGGTTCATCTACATCCTCCACCTGAATTCTGACTGTAGCTGAGTCCTTGAATGGCCCCAGGTAGAGGAATCGAGGGTCCACGTGAGTATTGGTAGCTTCCACTTTGAGAATATACAGATTTTTATTTTCAAAATCCAATGCCTTGGAAGAGAAAGAAAAGAGTTTGAGAGGTCTGTGGGGTCTTTGGCTTGCAGCCAGATGTGCCAAATAAATGGGGGGATACCATGGACAGGCCTGTGCTGTAACAGGAGCCTGAACTGGAATTAAATTGCCAGCAGAAAGAGGCTGTATGCCACTAGCAATAAGCTCCAGAAAATGCACATTTGCAGGGAATTCTATGCCTGGAACTTCTAAACTCCTAGACTAATCATTCCTTCTCAAATAGTCTCCACTCTTCATGCTTTTTATTCTGTTAATTTTGGCATTTAGCTATTTTTTTGTCTGTTCCTTGGCCTTAAGCATCACACACTAAAGGGGGAAAGATTTTACAGGAGCTGCTTGTTAAAATATTGGCATTCCATTACTGAAATGAAACAGCATGTCATCTGGTGTCAGAGGAGATCTGTGACCAGCCATCAAGAAAAACATGATATTATGATAGGATAGGATTATATCACACTGTTAAAAGTATGAAGGAGAAGCATGTAGGGACTATTTCTTACAGTACCTACTTAGAGAAACTTGGGGAGAGAGGAGTCACCCCATTTTTCCATTATATTGTACAAAATTCCTCAGAAACCATGCCTTCTGTCAGCCACAGACAGAAATGCAAACAGAATTAGATGGATATCATAATCAGTTCCTGGAAGGCATCTCTTAAAAAACAAGTAATGACAGGTGTCGTACTGATATCAAGAAGCAAAGTGCATGTTCTGAAAATCTACACAATGTCTGTTTAGTGATGACTGAACTTGAACTGATGGAGGATGATATCTGTAACCTTATCAAGCTTGCCTGATAGCCCACTGTAAACAGTATTTCTCAAACCTTTTCTGACAGCCAATGTGCAACCTAGTAGATGATGTCCATTGTGATCCAGCAAGGCGCTGTGATTTTTTTCTGAAGTAAAAGCACACTGATGGATTTTATTAATTACATTTGCACAAAACATGAGTCAGAAGAAATTTATCCATGTACTTTAATTCGCTATAGCCTATACAATTCCACACCTTCTAATAGTGCAAAGTAGGCAATGCGATACTGATTATTTCTGTGGTCTTAACACAGCACCTTTCTAATAAGTGAGCAAATCCTGTAACCACAACAGTGACAAAATCACAGTTAGAGTGTGCTTCTTCGAGTTACCCTGTGAATATGTTCAAACTGCAGAATTTTCTCTCAGGCCTCTCCCACCCCATAAATTATTTACTCTCTTAGATTCCTCAAAGCACGTGCATTAGTTTAGTAATGGAGGGTGTAAGAGCAAGATTCCTAACTGGTTGTATAAAAGAAAGTTTGTATAGGGAATCTTGTAGCGATTCCCAATAAATAGCATTCAAATCAATAAACAACACATGCTCCACTAAAAAGAAGAAAAAAGAAATATGCGTTAGATAAAGTTCTGACTGGTATTTCAGAGGCTAGGATTAAGCGTGTTAAGATGTGTACCTTTTTGACGGTTATAATTCCTTCCTGTGTGTCCTTGTCTGTGATGATTCCAAACATGTCATATCCATCCCCCTCAGTAATGCTGTATTCAATCTCTGCATTTTCATCCACATCAGCATCATTAGCTTTTATTCTGCCAATTGGTAAGTCAGGTGAAGTAGACTCAGGTGCTCTGAATTGATATGTGCCTACAGCAGACAGAGAAGGAAACTTTTGTCAATCAGGACTGTGATATTTTGAATAGCACCTCTTAGCGCACCATCTGTGTTAGGCATTCGCAGATGAGGTAGCGAGCTGCTGTGTCTTCAGGCCTTCCTCTGGCAAAAACCTTCAGCTTCTGCCTTACTTTCATATGGAAAAAAGTAACTTTTTCTTCTACCCTTTTGCTAGTATGAAGGACGGGCATTTTGTTTTTCTGCCCTACATGTATGTTTAGAAATATGCATCCCTTTCTAGACACTACCAAGACCTTTTTTGGCCATATGAAAATGGAACATGAAAAACTTCTTGGAGTCAAAAGACAATTAAAATATTTAGACCTGCCAGAGGCCAATACAACATAGTAACACTAAAAGCAAATGCAGGCCAAACGCCTATTACTAACGTGCTATACTGAAATCTCCTCTGAGACAAAACTATTTGGGGAATATTGGCATTATGAAGCTGTATCTTTGGCTTTTGTATTGAAGATACTCATGGCCAGAGATGTATATTTAACTCATTGGAGGCAGAGTGCTATATTTCCTCTTAAGTTGTTCTAACGTAAATGGGGACAGTTGGCCCACAGCTAAGAGCAGACTTTGAACTTAAATGACAGGTTACTTCCAATAACTTCCTAGTGATTTCACTGCCAAAGCTTGCTGATTTGTCTGATAGTGTCTGCAATTATTTTCTTGAACAGCTGCTCTGGACTTTATACACAGTGACACACGCATGCCGACACAACACACACACTCACTCACACACACACAGGCTACTGAAAGACAAAGCAAAAAAAAAAAAAAAAAGGAAGGAAGAGAAGAGAATGAAAGCTTTTTGAGTCACTTATGGCCATAAATTAATAGAAATGCCTGTGTTTGTAGGAGATGTGACTCAACTGGTTCCTTCAAATTTTGCACAGACACCTGCCAACTGACCTGAGGCAAGGGAAGAAAAGCAGCTGGAAACACCTGGTATATTTATATATATGTGCATATTTATATATGTGTCTTTGTTGCTGTGTGCAATGAATATAGGAAAATCCATTGAAGCAAATGGTTCTTGGGTGAATATTCATTTTGATAGAACTGCTTTTGGGACCATTTTACATACTTAAATAAATGTACTTAAAAATCTAGATAAGTTAGATTGGAACATCCATCTTAAAAACACAGTCAGCTGCAAGGTCTGGTAGAAATAATATTAACCTAGAAATATAATTGTATCAATCAACGCTATTTCATGAGTAGAAAAAATAGGAATTGTTTCTGTACATTAATTCACCTCTCAGATTATCTACTGCAACTGAAACAAAAATATTAACGATATGCTTCCCAACACTGCAAGTAACCTTAGCATGATGCTACTGCGTACTTGCTTGTAAGTTTTCTTTTTCTTTCTCAAAGGAAGTCTGATACCCTGTAAGTTAATGAGAGCAGAAACAGTAACTTAGGTGAAAAAAGTATACCAATTTCTGTCCGTTCTACTGTAAAGACATAAAACCTAAATATTGCATACTCTGGGGGAAGCGCGGTGGATTGTCGTTTACATCAGTCAGTGTGATGTTCACGGTGGTGGTTCCTGATAATCCGCCCATCTGGCCTCCCATGTCCTTAGCTTGGATGACCACTTGGTATTGTTCCCTGTTTTCACGGTCCATATTTAGCAAAGCAGTTTTAATAATGCCTGAAAATTAAAAAGGAGAAATTCACTAGTAATGTATTGACTTTGATGAAAATTCATATTAAAAAAAACCCAGAGCCTAAAGAACAAAACAGTCTCTGTGTAATGAATAAACTTTGCCCAGTACAAACATTTACTGCTATGAGATGACACATTATATTACAGACTTGTCATATCATATCTCAGGCTGCTGCCTGTGTGATAGACACAATATTAGTGGCATTCCCAGAAAGATTTTCTATTTGTGAGCAGTGTTACTTTACATAACTATTTACCCCCTTTCCGTTCCATGCTGAAGTCCCTCACTGAATTGGAAAAAGTCTTATTGTTCATTCTAATGTGCTCCATCTCTTCTCCCCTGTTCTGTCAATATTTGTATTTTGATAAGCATGGCCAAAAGAAAAAAAAAAAGCAAACTTCAACAGACATCATTAAAGAGGCAACACAGCAACATTAAACAAAAGAAGAGAAATTAATTAGGAAAATTGTGAGCATCCAAGCATACCCAAGTATATATATTTCTATTTATACATTGATTGAAACAAATTTGCTAAGTACTTCCTTTGTCAAAGGCACAAGTATCAGTTATAATCCCAATACCTATTAAAATTCAATCATTTAGATTTACAGCGAAGCAAAGTATTTGAGTTCTTACTTGGTCTCTTAAGGCTCAAAACTGACTGTTTGGTAGGCAAAAGGGGAAAAATCCTAACACTGAAATCCATGGCAAAATTCAGAGCAACTTCAACACAGACTTATTTCTCTCTAGCAGTTTTGTCATTGATTTCCATGACAATAAGATCAAGGCTGTGGTTTACCTCGCTTCCCCTCCTTCCCCATACAACCTTCTTGCTAAAGGACCGTTACTGCTGAACTCTCGGCTACCTTATCCTTCCTATATCTCTGAACAGAAGAACATATAACATATTGCCCGGCTCAGAATGAGGGCATCAGTGCAAAAATGTGTTTTCCTGTAGTATCCTAATACCTTTATGCTTGAAAAGAAGGTTAACCCATGGCTTCCTCTCAGTTCAGAGAGTGTCAGGCCCTTTTGATTCAAAACTAATGTGGTTAGGATCCAAAAGCTGTTTTGGCTGTTTTTTAAAGCATCTCAAGACTGAAGAAAGCCTTGTACTGCCTATGCTTTGGGGTCTTTGCGCATCACCTCAAAAAGCAGATTTTGTCTTGCATGACGTTCTGAGAGTTTAACTTAGTAAATGCTCAGACTATTGTTTGTGCAAACACTAGGCTTTGAGGAGCAAGGGTGTCTTTCCAGCAAAAGATACTTTCTCTGAGTTTCACATAGTGTTTGTTTTGGTTGACAGTTCACCTCCCAACTTGACACATGTTGATGAAAATAAAGAAATAAAAACTTTGTAAAGATTTCCAAAACAGGTTAATCTTTCCTGTAAGCGTTGTAAGATAAGCTTAGGTGTACCTTTGGACAAAAAAAGCACCTTTTGTAGCCTCGCTTCAGACCATCATTGAGGCATTTCTCTTCATATTTCATTTTTGGAGACTTACAGCTTCAAAAAGAATAGGATTTTATTCTGAATCACGGAGTCTGCTCTTCCTTTCTCCAAAAAGCTCCCTTTCATCTTGGCTCTCCCTCTTTTCAGAGCATGCACCTTTTTTCAACTCAGAGGTTCCTCTCTGAGACACCTACTGTCTCCCTCCTTTTCCTTGCCTGAATCTTTCAGATTTGATTAGGATGCACTGCTAAAACCTGATTATTTTTCTGAGATATTGCATTTTTTTTCTGTAAGGACACTGAAGAGAACAAATTTCACTCACTTCCAGCAACCAATTATAATGGATATTTCCATTTAAATAGTTTCTCAAGGTCATTTGTTTCTTCTAGGAGAAATTCGTTACAAATTTTAGAAAGATACTGAAGACTATATGTGCAATGAGATTGTCCAATGATAGAGCAGTTTCTTTCAGTCAACCAGAATTCATATGTTTTACATGCATAGGTTCCAAAGCTGTCTTATTCAGCCCACAAGAAATTCTAGTCACTGTATATAACTTAAACATCTTCCAGAAACAGAACTCTGAGTTTTGGGATTCTATTTGTGAAGTTCTAATGTAGAGCAACAGCCAATTTTACCTCTTATATCATTATTCTTAATTAGGATTTCTTTCATAAAATTAGCTTTAAAGTGATATGTTGCAGATGTACAGAAATTATAATTACTTTAAACAAGTTTTAAAGCAGCAGAAGGAGAAAAAAAATGAAGAAACCCTCAGTCTTAATTTAGCCATTATGAAGATCCATGAGGATGAAGCATTTTCTTTCACACCCACCTGTTTCTCCGCTTCTTCTAAGAGCCAGCCTATTTGGTTTAATTTAAGCATCTACAGCAGTCTCTGTACCCACTCTTTGTTGAAAATGATTGAAAACTGGTTCACATCTAGTTCTAATTTCATTTATTAGACTTTGCTGGTAAGATTAAAATAACGTAGGTGTCATGTTTACAGATGTATCGCTCTATTAAGTTTGTCAGATCTTGCACTGAGTAAGATGTAATCTCTTTGAAGTTTTTGTCTAATATGGCCTAGCTTGGCTTAGCATGTCATTTTAAATTACAGACATTGTCAGAGAATGACAGATAAGGTCTCCTGACCTGTCTCAGATTCGACAGAGAAATACGGTTGTCCCTGGAGAATGCTGTAGACAACTTTAGCACTGTTCCCATAAGTAGGATCATCAGCATCAGTTGCAGTGACTTGTACAACAAAGGTGCCTGCAATGATAAATTAAAGAAAATAAAAATCCTTTTTTTTTCCCATTAACAACATAGTTTTTGATGTAGTTGTTTGTACTATCTAGCCAGTTGGACTTTCTTTAATGATCTGAATCTGGGCATGGATAGGTCTTTATTTTTGCAGCATTAAAGCAATTTAAATATCATAACTAATGTTCCTATTACTGCTTGTTTGTTTGAAGCTTGTATAGAAAGAGTTTGATTGAAATATATGGAGAATACTGCCATAGAAGTACAAGAATTGAGAGCACTAGAAAGGCAATCCTAGTCTTCTTAAAATTCACATCTCTTTATGCCTAAGCTCTAGAGAGCAGTTGAGTGAAAATCATCTTTTCCATCAAGGGGAACATCTGAGTTGGTTATTTGGGATATGAGATTCTATGGATGTAAACCTAGTGTTTTCTTTGGGAACGATGAACTGGAATAAAATAACCCTTTCTGTGCACTCTGTCTTTCCTCCCCTCCCCTGGAGGCAGACAGACCAGGGACTCGGTATACTTCTGCAGCTGATTCCTTTGGAAATGCAACCCAGTTATAGGCTGTGTTTGCATTCACTTATTTATTTTTGTGTGAGGGGAATACTTTTCCAAGGGCATGCAACCAGTAGCTGGTGAACCATTACAGTTGTATGATCAGGGAACAGGATGGAGGCTCCATATAAAAGGTTCATCCCTTTGCTATGATCAGGTGGGGTACCTGAGGGCATGAGCACCCTAACCCAGGGGTGAGAATGCCGCTAAAAATGCTCTTCTTCCCTAGTGAAAGAAACTGCACAAGGTTTCAGAGCAACATCTAAACTTGAAAACAGGGTGATCGATCTTCCTTGTATTTAAAAATATTTATAAATAGGCACCAAGGTCTCCTGTCTGTTCTGATAATATAACTGTGTATAAAAGGCAGTCTCTAAATTATAGCTAGGATAATCTCACAAACATCACAGGTTGGATGTTTATTACAAATAACTGGACATCATAGGCCTGTAAAATGTCTCTTAAAATGTATCAGGAATGTCTATTTGTGATATTCTTGTAGATCTACTTTGAACACTACTAAGGATCAGGGCAGTGTGACAGTATGGAATACATACAAGAAAAGTGTGTGCTTTTTAAAAGGATATTTTTAGACAAAATAAGCATAGTTCAGGTTCAATTCAAATCTGTCACAACAATTTAGATAAACTCTTATTCTATTTAAGTTTCTCTGCTCCTAAAGGACATAGATGCAGTAACAAAATGATAGTTTGCTTCTTCTGAGTCCGTTAAAGTACACAGCTATTGATTAGATATAGAGATTCTTTATTATATTTCCTATGAAGAACTGAGAAAACCCCTCGCCCCAGATACTGAAAGGATTCAAAATTTGAATCTATATCAAGAATAAAATTTTGCAAATTTACTCATTCTTGTAAAAGTTTAAACTAAAATTTACCATCTGAACAAGTTTAGCCCTGAGGTATTTGACACAGGAATGTAAATCTGAATTTTTAATGTGCCTTTCTAGGAAAAGAAATAATGTTGAATCCCAGGCAAAGTGTTAAAAAACACGAAAAATGAACTCAGGCTTTGGGATTTAAAATGGATTTGTGAACAAAGTATTCACTTCACATATTAAACAGCAAATATTAGGAATATTAAGTTTCTTCTTCACCAGATGAGGTTCCATCCATGTGACAAGTCCATGAATGAGAGGAGAGAGTATGCCCCACAGTCTTTATTTTCATATTACTTGAGCTTTATTTTAATCTCTTTCTTGATTGTGATTAATTAATGGTTCTCTCCCTGGATATTATTTCAGATTAGAAACGTGCTTCTTGCGGTTCAAGCATCCATCTCTCTCTGACAAAGAAATCAAAATGACCCCCTAAGAACCAGAGATAAAGAATCAAAATTCGTCAGTTTCTCTGAAAAAGATTCAATCTTAAAATCATATCTGAAGGACATTATTTTCTTTTGTTTTGTTGATCAATTCATATAGGTTGATACATTTTAAATCAAAGGGAAGTTTTTAACTGACATCAATAGACTTTGGGGCTTATTTTTTGCTTTAAAAAAAAAAAAAAGAGCAACAAAGGTCAAAGGAATTTAATAGCATATCTCCGAATTGGTGATGGGTTGATTTGTGTGATAGCTGTCTCTCTTGAAGGGTGTATACCTCCTTCTACACTTGCCTTCTTCCACTTTTTTTTACCATCCTGAACTAAACAAGTGTTGCTCAATAGATTTGGGGGTGTGGAAACAGTTAGGTGACTATGACTTAACATATTATTACACTGATGCTAAATCATGATACCAGGGCACGTTAAGCTCTTTACAAGTGTCACGTAATGTGGCTTAGCTCAACTCTTTCACTGTGAACTACGTTAGATTGTATTAACTTGCATTTGTTGTAAGACAACACAGGGAGTGGGTGTCACCCAGCTGACACCTCTGATTTCAGCAAACCATTGTCACTGTCCTCCTGGATTTAGATTTTTTAAGTGGCTGAAGTGCTGTTACTCAAAATTCGAACAGCAGGTGTCTGTATTCAGTGCCTATAAACTCTGGGTCCTTAAATAACCCTGCAGAAAGAATCCAGACCAGACATTGAAATGAACTATTAGTTAGCACCTACCAACATCTGACATTTCGGGAATGCTGGCATTGTAAATGTCCTTTGTAAACATTGGCTCATTGTCATTGATGTCATGGATCTTAATGATGAATTCAGATTCTGGTTCCACTGGTCTTCCAGTCCTTCTGTTTATAGCCTGGGCACGAAGTATGTATACAGGCTTTTCTTCCCTGTCCAGTCTCTTTGTGGCCTGGATGTCACCAGTGTTTTCATTGATAATGAAGAGGTCTCCTGCTCCATCTCCGGAAAGGATGTACTTAAGTGATCCATCTCCTTTATCCTGATCTGAATGCAGCTGGTGGTGAAATGAGAATAAAAAAAAAAGGGAAAACAAATAATTGGGACACAATTCTAGCTACTTTATCTGTTACCATGATACATGTCTTACTGTTATTAATACTGAGGCAAAAGGCTGCACGCTGCTTTTGGAAATTAGATGATACCACAGAAGGAACAGTGAATTGGTAGAGCTGTGCCTTGATGTCAGAGCTGAAATGGTTTGCAACATTATAAGAAATTGTCTGGGGAAAACCACGAACTGAAGCTGCAGATCAGCTTCCCAGGCTAGGCATACATCAGTTGGATCTAAATGCTAGTGACTTAGGTGGAATTCTATGAATATATAGGATACTGAAATCCTACAGCTGGAAAAGGACTGCATTCAGGAACTGCAGTAATGAAAGAATTAGAAAGGGGCCAGGCTAGTTACTTCTTGAGTTTAAATTCAGGTTGCTCTGCTGTTACTCCCGCTGGACATGATGTAGCATACTGCACAATGCTTAACAGTAAGAAATGAAATACATACAGAAATAACAGCAAAATACATGCATTCACAGATGTGGCAAACTAAGAGCTGAGGTAGGCAGCCGTAATAGGCCATTCCAGGATTGGCAATAAAGAGTTCAGTTGCCTTTTCCAAAGGGAAATGGACCAAACTGGAACATGATGGGGGCAGGGGAAAGAAAAGAAGGATGATAGTTAGCATACAAAGCATGAGCTGCCCAAACCATCATCTTTTTTCCCAGGGGAATTCTACATCTCTGTTGAAATGCTGCATGCCACACGCAGCAGGTGCAACTCTCATTAAATCCTACTCTGATGGCTGTTCCTTTGTTAAGGGTCTATCTATGCACGTTGATCTTAAAGTTAAGGCTAATCAACTACATTTTATTCTATTGTTACATTAGACAAAATAAAGAAAATATGAAACATGAAAATGACTTTTAAAGTCAGGGTATAGGTGATGAAATTCATGGGGAAAAAAACCTATTAGGTTGGAGATTTCCACAAATGCTTGATTCATATAAAAGACGTATGTTTATGAGTCAGGAGAGCTGGACATTCTGGACCAGCTCTTTACTTTGTCTGTCTGTATACAAAAGTAGGAAAGCAAAGCCTAGCTGACTGTTGCAGTAGAGTACTTAGTGTTCCTGCATAGGATGCCCTGTAGAAGAGACAGATTTTTAAGTTGGAAGAATAAGGAATATTATTGTCTTCCCGTAGACTTTACAAAGCATGGCTATGCCTTTACTATTCTGGAAGGGCAGCCTCTGGCAGGACCATAAGCACAACGTTTGGACCTCCTCCAACCTTCTGCCCAGATCAGTGCTATGCTGGCAGCCTGCTGACAACCCACTTGGCAGCATACTGCCCTGCCACATGTGCTCCTGCCTGTGCTCCCTACAGAAAGCATTCTCTAGGCAACGAGTTTATCTTTAAGGGCAAGACTCTTTGTCTCTACACAAAACAAAAGTGTCCAGCAATACAAAATATCAGAACTGTAGTACAGTTAATCGTTAGCAGACATGCTGAGGCACTATTTCTTCATTTTCTCCTTCAGGGACAATTTAATGTAATTTTGCACAGTACCCTTTCTCTTGATAGTATGAATACCAACAACCAGTTTATATGCAACGTTTTTCATCACCAGATTTCAAAACCCTTTACAAGAATGGTCAATTTGCTCTGTTTTACAGATAACAAAGCATAGAGACTAGCACCTCCCAGAAGGCTAGTGCAGGAGCCTGGAATAGCATTCAGCTCTCCTGAGTCCTGCTCAATCGGCCAGTCCGCTCAGCCACAGGACCTAGAGGAATTATATGATTTGCTGAATATAAGCTAAGCCTCTGAAGAATATCTGTTAGACCTGCTTGTTCAGAAGTCGGACTGGAAGTCTGCTGAGGGAAATAATTCAATAGGATCTTTGAGTCTAATTTTCTCAAAGGCGATTTGCAAAGGAAAAGGCAGCTATAGACTTGAAAAGAATGCTGTTTTTAAAAATACGTATTTTTTTCTGATTCTGTTTCACATTTGAAATTTAATGTTTCTTTGCCTTGATAACTTCTTTAACATTCTCCGCACCATATTACTAGGAAAACAGCAGCCATCTGTAGCAGCCTGTCACTAATAGTGAATAGAATAATGTTATCATGAAACTTATTACAGGCTGAACTCCCAAACTCATTTTCATCATCATTTTAATTAGGCCTTCTTTCATCCAACAAGGTAGTAAAAAAGGTCAAGCTACAAAAGGTGTTGGCACTACTGGGAATTGTACTCCACAGTATTCTTTACATAGCCTAGACAAGCTTAAGACAAAGAGATAGCAAACTTAGGTCTGAGTTTTCAAGTCATTAGTTTATGAAATTTCCACTCCTCCCCCACAACTAATCCTGTTGTATAAGATGGAGTATGACTTTGTGTATCGGGACAACACCTATCTCAATGTAATGACTCATTAATGTTGACCTCATCTTTGTCAAAGGTTCAATGTCCAGCCCTTTAGCAAAAGCACCAACTTTAAAAAATAAACAAGATCCTTTTCAATTTTAATACCATCAGTTTTACAGCTTTCCTAAGATATGAAGGAACAAACTAAATGCCCAGTTGGCAGGGTAGTAAGTGGGTTATTTACTATAAAACTGAGAGGTGGGAGGAGTCCACCATGCAATAGCATATTATAACAGAGCTAAGACTGGGTGAGTGCCAGCTCTTCAAACGGACAACCGACATTACAACGTGTCACCATGCTCAACCTGATTCACAAAGATTGTAAAAAGCTGTGGTTACAATCTGCTTGATTTCAGTAAACTAGGATAGTTCTCTAACTGCCAAACATTACGGTTTTGTGGGATATGCCAAAATCATAACATCAACATCAACTGAGCCAAAATAGCTTTGATTTTGTTCCCTACTTTTCAGGCAAAATGCTGGTTTTGTATGTTAGAAAAAGCAACCAACTCTCTAGAGTTCTTATAGATGATAAATTTGTAACATTCATCTGTGAGGAAAATATCTGAAAAAATGATTTATTATTTTAGATTAGGTTATCTATCCTTGATGGTTTGTTTGGTAGAGAAGGTTTATCCGTGCAAAAACAATGTTTTATTTTTTGTTAAGGGCCAGGTTATCCTGGAAGGAATATATTGTCTGTGTGACCTATATGAAGAGGGAAATTGCTATTCTAACCATATAAAACAATAAGAATAATGTTTAAAGGAAAAAAAAAAAGATGAAAGTTTAGGCCAAAAGAAGGAGGCACTTAAAAAATGAGAGATGCACTTACAAATACCTTTGGCAGTTTTGTATATAAAACTTAATGAAGTACTCCAGGTTATGAAGATAAAATGAGTAGTAATAACAACCCCCCTTCCTTTTAAGCTGAAGTTATTTTTCAATGCCCAGACACCTCACTTGAAAATAAAGTTTGTTCTGATGAGATTTGCATATTGAATATGTTGCAGCATGCTTGTTACAGGGCTGATCCCCATGTCCATGCAAGATATTACAGCTCCACTCTGTGTGCAGATTTCATTGAAGTTAAGACAAAAAGCAGTAACTGAAGATCAGCTCCTTTAGAGGCAGAGTTACATATGCCTCTGACTTCGTTACAAGAGTTTGCATATTTTATTCTCCTTCACTCTCAGCCAAACTGTAAGATACTGGCTATCCTTTCTTTTCTTCCTCCACATTCACCTATTTAAAAGCTGTTACTGAACACCTTCAGCTCCTAGAGGAGTTAAGGGGACCTGAGGATTGTTTGCACTCCCAGAAAGTAGATTATGTGCATGTTTTACCAGAGATAATTTCATTCTAATTATATTAACCTCCTCCAAAATTTCCATTGTAAGTGGGAATCAATTAGTAATAGGATCTTTTGTTCCAATATGTGCTCCTATCATTCCACTTGAACAGCCATCTTTTCTGAACCTGCTATTGAGGCCCAGACACGATGACCTGATGTTGCAATGGCAAGGGTATGTTTCCACTCTGCCAGCAAGCCATGCATGCAGCAGCACTGAGGCCTGTTCCAGACTTCTGTGGGGCTGCCCTGAGGAGCTGAAGTGGGTTCAGTAAGGATGCTTTCTATGGTGCCCTTAGGATGGAAAATGAGTTCATATGCTATTTGGCTCCTCAAGTGGTAACCCATGTTGCAAAAGAGTGTCCCTTATCCTCTGCAAGAAAGTCTGCCGTAGGCCACATAAATGGGCCATGGCAGATAGTCATGGGCTAGAATAAAAAGTCTTGGCAGACAGTGCTCATCTCAGGTAGGCTGTATCACATCATTATCATTTCTTAAGGCAATACTTTTTCACCAAAGGTTTTTAGGGCTCCACTGACAGCAAGATTTTTTATTTCCTCAGGAACTCTGTGTTACTCAATGGCATTCATTTCAGAGGGTGACTGAATTGAGTAATACCCAAAAGGTAAGCAAAATTGTGTAGAAGTAAGTCTATATTGCTGTAATAAAAAGCAAACGCCTCAACAATTGCATTGTATTAATATTACGATAAATTAATTCATTCAGAATTTAATCTGGATACTTTGTGAAATCATCCATTAATCACTGGCTAAGGCTGAGGAGGAACGACACATTAAAGGTTTTACTACGCCCTAGGCATACTTTTACTCATTTTACTTTAATACCACTGTTAAGTTAACCATCTGGTTTACCTCTAATGATTCACAGTTAGAAGAAACTATCCTGTCTTTCTCACTCTTCTTGCCCCAGAATGTCCCAGCTCAAAATATTCTAATATTTGGTATCTGAGGACAGGTTCCTTAGTAAAGGCTTCATTGCTCCAGTAAGAAACAGGGATTTTTAAATGTGCTTGCACGACTATAGCATGAAGTATCTGTATTTGACTTTCTGCTTCTTATCGAATTTATAACTGTTTTAGAATTTTTTCAAACTAGCCACAATCTGAAATATGGTCTTACTGCAAAATATTACTGGCAATATTATTCTAAGGCCTAAAGAGTAGTGGCAATGATATATGTTACGAATGCCAGAAA